CCATTCCTGCTCCTCCAGGCTGCTTCACTGGGGCACAGTGTTTGCAGCTATTGCTGAGGTGCCAATCACCCCTTCCCCTGTTACAGTGCCTTTTAGGGGTGGGACCCAGGCCAGGGGAGACCCTGTAGGCAGGTGGCCCTGGATCTGCCCAGGCTGGGTCACGAGTCCGAGCTGGTCAGTAGTGAATAAACTGGGGCTCTGCCTTTTACGATGTGCTTCCCTGCTCTGTCTTTTCAAGTTGGTGGCTGGGGTGTGTGGGGGGCATATGGAGAGGAGAGGCCAGCATGGCTGATTTGTTTTTTGTGACAGGATCTCACTGTATAGCCTGGGTTGGCCTGGGATTTGTGATCCTCCCACTTTAGCTTGAGTTCTGGGATTATACGAGTAGACCACCACACCAGCCTTTGGGGATAACCTGGACCACCACACCAGCCTTTGGGGATAGCCTGGACCACCACACCAGCCTTTGGGGATAGCCTAGACCACCACATTAGCCTTTGGGGATAGTTTGGACCACCACATTAGCCTTTGGGGATAGCCTGGACCACCACACCGGCCTTTGGGGATAGCCTGGACCACCACACCGGTCTTTGGGGATAGCCTAGACTACCACATTAGCCTTTGGGGATAGTCTAGACCACCACACCAGCCTTTGGGGAATAGCCTGGACCACCACACCGGCCTTTGGGGATAGCCTAGACCACCACATTAGCCTTTGGGGATAGTTTGGACCACCACATTAGCCTTTGGGGATAGTCTGGACCACCACATTAGCCTTTGGGGATAGCCTGAACCATCACACTGGCCTTTGGGGATAGCCTAGACCACCACATTAGCCTTTGGGGATAGCCTGAACCATCACACTGGCCTTTGGGGATAGCCTAGACCACCACATTAGCCTTTGGGGATAGCCTGGACCATCACACTGGCCTTTGGGGATAGCCTAGACCACCACACCTGCCTTTGGGGATAGCCTGGACCATCACACTGGCCTTTGGGGATAGCCTGGACCACCACACCTGCCTTTGGGGATAGCCTGGACCACCACACCTGCCTTTGGGGATAGCCTAGACCACCACACCTGCCTTTGGGGATAGCCTGTACCACCACACCTGCCTTTGGGGATAGCCTAGATCACCACACCAGTCTTTGGGGAATAGCCTGGGCCACCACACCTGCCTTTGGGGATAGCCTGGACCACCACATTAGCCTTTGGGGATAGCCTGGACCACCACACCTGCCTTTGGGGATAGCCTGGACTACCACATTAGCCTTTGGGGATAGTCTGGACCACCACATTAGCCTTTGGGGATAGCCTGAACCATCACACTGGCCTTTGGGGATAGCCTAGACCACCACATTAGCCTTTGGGGATAGTCTGGACCACCACATTAATAGCCTAGACCACCACACCAGTCTTTGGGGAATAGCCTGGCTTTAGGCAAGAAAGCTGAAGGCTTAGAGATACCTACTTCTATAAACTTTCCCAAGCTGGAAGGCAACTTTGGCACATGGGCCCTCCAAAGCCTTCCCATGGGCTGGTACAAGCCTGCTGTCCAGCAAAGTGTCCAGGGAGTGTCCAGTGTGAACGTGTAGGTACAACAGCATCTGCCTTCCCTGGAGGGGTCTCACATATGAAAAAATAACTCCTGGTCTCAGAGTAGGGTGGACATAGTTTTCAGAATTAGAAAGTAGGTGAGCACAGTCTGCTGCCTTGTCTAGTCTGCCCAGTTCTTGACAAGGAAGGATTTAGGAGGGGCTCAGGCGGGTTCAGCATCCCCACCCCCACCCTAGTTTGTCTCTGAGGCTCAGCACTGGAGCTCTGGGCCCCACAGGTGTTTCCAGAGCCTAATGGTGTCCTGGGGGCTGACTGGATGCACCAGCAGCAGGCCTCGCATTGTGCACGGGTCCTTGGTGAGGTCTTCTGGCCAGGCTGTGAAGAACCCTGGATGGGCACGGGGCACTAAGCCCAAGGCACGGACGCAGAAGGCGGTGTAGACGTCATCAAAGGGGAAAGGTACCACACGGGCAGCTGCCTGCAGCAGCCAGGGGGCCAGGCGTCCTGAGATGACATAGCCACCTCCACTGGCGTAGGCTGGGTAGTCTCCCTCAAAGAAGGTCTTGGGAACATAGAAGGGCTCTCCAGGCTTGCGGAGCGGCTTGGCCTGGGTGAAGACCTCCCCCAAGTAGAGGCTGCGGGCCCAGGTGGGTGGCAGGGTCTGCAGGTGCTCCATCAGGGCAGGGATGTGTACGAAGGCGTCGTCCTGTACCTGCAGGATGAAATTCACATTGGGGCAGTGGTGACCCAGCCAGGTCAGCAGCAGCAGGTCTTTGAGTGTTTATTTGTAGGGAACATCCAGGAAGTCCCAGAGCAGCAGGTCGCCATAATGCTGGCTCTCCCATGTCACCAGCGATCTTAGGTCAGGTCCCCCGATTCCTAGCGGTGACCCCAGCAGGAAGAGCAACCGGGTCCCAGCGGCTGCGCTGCCCCAGGTCTCCCTCACAGCCTGCCGTGCCGCAAAGTGTCCCGGCTCTGACTTGACAGCCAGGAGCAGGTAGGGGGCATCCTTCTCAGAACAGCTGGCCACTGGGCTGCCCCCGCCTGCAGGCTGCCACAGCGGGAAGTTCCTACAGGCTGCTGGGAGAAAGAAGAGCTGAAGGGCT